TTTCCTCTAGTTTTAATGAGTTTCTTTCAAACAGCAGTAATGCAGAACAAGGTTAAGAGTGCTGCCACATTGGGTATTCTTTAAGCAATAACTTGGGAAATTTCTTACATACCTGGAAGGAAATGTTGATCATGAATCTTCAAAATCCATGAGCAGAAAGTACAAATATGATAATAACTCATTGAGGGATGGAAGGATGTTCAAAGAAAATATGCCGTATTGGTCTGCTGAAGGAAAACATCGGTGTGCCTTGAATTATCTGCTGGAAAATGATATTTCAATAAGCCTATTTAAAATGCAGTGGCCTAATCAGTTAGCTACTATATGATTACAAGAAGATCATGCTCTTTTATTGGCTGTTGAGATAAGTATTGAGTGAGGTCTTAGAAGGAGGAGAATTTTCCCATGTGAGGCTTTATGACCTCCAAAATCATTCTGGAGAAAAGGCAGAGTGAAACTGGGAAGAAGAGAAACACTTGTTTATTTCTAGGGGACAGCTTGTTTAGGCACTTGAAGGATTCAGTCATATCCCCTTCAGAATATACACACAGAGTTCATACACTTTTCTTTGGATGATTTCTCATCTATCTCTAATGCACTTTGTTGGACCTGTTCCCACCTCTCAACATCATTTCTGAAGTTCATGCCCTAATGGCTCTGGTGAGTGCGGAGCACAATGACTGTTGCTTCTCATTATATGGAAAGAGTGATTCTGGGGAGCCACTTCCACTGGCCGTCAGCTTTGGTAGAATCACATTGGTGTTTTTTTGCAGCTGTGTCCAGACTACTGAATTGTATTCAGATTGAGATTGACTACGAAAATCCTCAAGAGATTCCAGCTAGGGCTAGGAAAGATGAGACACCACCCCTCCCATCAGGTCCAGAAGAAGAGACATGCTGTGGGACCCATCAGACAAGGAGCTTTGTTTGGCAGGATGCAGGAAGCCTTTTCTGCCATGGCACCCACCCTCCAGAACCTCATTCCCCCCGAGGTGAGATTGGCCCCAACCCTGTTGGCCTTTTGGAAGGCCCTCAAAACCTGCAAGTGCCATTGGGCTTGTGGAGTGTGGAGCCTGTTGAACGGTTGCACTGTGCATAGGTTTAGATTGTACTCTCCCTGTTTTTTGTTATTGTAGTTTTTAACTGTTTTAATTGGTTTTAATGGCTGAATTTTGATTGTTATTCTGTGTTTTCATTGTGTACACTGCCCAAAGTGGCATGGAAGTGAGATGGGTGGCCACATTAATTCAATAAAGAAATAAACAAACAAAGATTGGGCTGAGACATATGGGCCAGGTAAGGGTCCACATCATCTTCAAAGGGAACAAGTCAAGGCATACTTTGTGATGGTTACACAGACAAGGAGGCAGCTGAAATAGAGTAGGGGGTAAGAAGTTGGACTACATTTGGGGAGAACCAGTTTGAAAATCCCCTTTGATTGTGGGTTTCATCTCTGAGTCCAACTTGTGCAAGAGTTGCTATTCTCAGGATAAAATGAGGAGCATCCAAAAGGTTCACTGTGTTGTGCTCACATAGGAAAGGTGGGGCATCAATGAAAAATAATAAATATAATAATACTCAAATATGAATGGTAGGCAGCTTAATCAATTACATATTTTACTGCACAGCCAATAAAGGCACTGGAGCCTTTATTTTTTATTTATTTCTATTTATTTTATTATTTACAGGTCCACCCACTTACCATCCTAATAATGTTATTGACAATGGCTCCCAGAAATATATCTGATTGGTTTACCTGGTTGCTGCTCTTACTTTTTCAGTAAAAACAGGGTGTGGTGTTCACCATACAAACTGGCCAACTAATACCCCAGGATAGCAATTCTGGGACACCTTTACAGGTATCAACCACAGAGTTGAGGGGGGGGGGGAGAATGGAGGGGGAAGCAGCAGAGTCCACAGCATAGTGAGGGAGAAGAGAAAGAAGAAAAGGAAGCCAAAAAGTAATAATAATACCAGGGTGATGATAATCAGGGGAATAATGGAGAGGACAGACCTAGAAATGGCAGGACAGACAGGTGGTGGTTGTGTAAAGATCAAATATAATCAGGTTACAATGAGATAGAAGGGAAGGATGATTGATTTATTGATTATGTGCCATCAAGACAATATCAACTCAACCACAAAGATTTTTTTTCCAGGAAACTCTGTTCTCAATCTGGTCCTTCAGTTTTCAGTTGATGCACCCACGGCCTCTATAATCCAGACCATCTACCCTACTGTTGGTTGTCCTCTTCTTCTTCCTTCCACCATTATGGACTTCCAAGAGAGCTATGTCTTCTCATAATTGTCTAAAATATGATTATTTTAGCTTGGTTATTTGTGCCTTAAGTGAAAACTCTGGATTGATTTGTTCCGTGATAAACTATTTCTTTTCTTAGCTCTCCATGGTATTCCCAGGCATCTCCTCCAGAATCCAAGTTCAAAAGGATCAATACTCTTTCTAACCTGCTAATTTAAAATCCAGTGTTCAATTTCGTAGAAGGGAAGTTGGGGATGCCCAAAAGCACGCTGACCTTTGCCCTGTAAATATTATGGCAACTTTTTCAGTATGCTGAAATTTGTCTTCTGCACTTCCAAATAACTTGATTGCTGTTCTCTAGAGCTATTAAGATTTTTGTCCCCTTCTTCATGTGCAGTGACCCCTCCTCCAGCAGAAGTCAGGCTGCTGCAGATTAAAATTATCTTTCCTTGGTGGATCCTTCTCTTAGGCCCTTTCCACTAAAATGAGCCCTTGGCTTCTCATTAAAATCTCCTCTGATTTTAGTTCTAGGCTGAGAAATTCTTTTATTTTTATCTTCCTTCATTCATTCCATTTCTATGACCAGCCATTGGCTAAGCAACTGAGGCCATCTAATAAGAGTTATATGTGTAAACAGCCTGTCTTTTCACTCTAGTCTTCTCTTCCAAGGTCTGCAGCATTTCCATTCAATCCCTTCTCCCATGGGGTCCTTTCAATAGTGGTGCCATGAAAATACACAAAACCCGAAGCCTCCAGATCTTCAGCCAAAAGTATATTTATTTTCAAGATCCAAAGCAAGCAAAGACGAGGGTACCATAGTGTGATTGACAAGAACCCCAGAAGCAAATTTATACTCACACTTTTGCTGAATTCCAACTACTCAACTACTATTCCACTTTTGCTGAATTCCAACTACTCAACTATTTTACTGAATTCCAACTACTTAAGGAAAAATAGTAGTGAACAGCACTACTGTTACATACCATGTACCAATTATTGCAGACTAATTATTATTCCCAATTAATCCCCCCCCCAATATTTTATTGCTTTATTGTATTATTATTAAACACAAGTACTACAATAGATTATTTGGGTACAGTGGTATTTACACAGTGTGGACTGGAGATGATTAACACTCTGATGTTTAGATAATTAAAACTTTAAAGATAAAGAAAAAAAGCTTATATCAATACTGGCTATGAATAAAATGTTCATGTTGATAAGCATAAGGTTGCTTAAATTTTATATCTAAAGCTAAATGTGGCATTAGATACAACTGCAAAATACATGAAATTATTTGTTATGTAATAACAGTTTCTATCTCAAGTGTGATACTTAATTCTAAGATCCCTATGGTATTGTTACATATTATTGTTTGTGCATATACAAAAAAAAAGAAAAAAAAGAAGAAGAGCGAAAAGGAAAAAAACAGATAAAAAACAAAAAGAAAAAGTAAGAAGAGGCTTTTTGGTTTCTAAATTCTCTCTTTTCCTGCCTCTACCAATTTGCAGTATTTATAAGCACTGAGGTGCCCTTGGAAACCAACCTCTAAGTAGAAAACCTCTCAAAGAGATGTCTCTCCCTGCAGATTTGTAGAATTGCAAAGGAGTTTTTGTACCCTCCTGTGGCTGCTTCCCTGCTTAACTAGCCATCTTTCCATCCTTTCTTCCTGGGGATCCGAGGTTTTGCCTGTGGCAGGTTTTTCTCTTCTGTGGCTCCCAAGCCACGGAATATACATGAGAATGGCCTCTCTTCCTCTTCCTGATTTCAGTCAAGGATTAAAGTGTCACCATCAGTTACTGAATTTGATTTGGTTTATAACTGGTTCTATTTTAATTTTACTTATTGATGCTTCATTTCATGAATTAATTGCCCTTGGGGGGCATTTGGAAAAAAGAGGTGGGGGTGGAGGGATGGCGCCCTCCCTGTATTTGTAAAAATCTTACTTAGAGTGAGCAAAGTAAACTTTTTTTATAAAAATGCGTGC